CTTGAGAAAGTTTCGCAAACTTTGAGAAAGTTTCGCAAACTTTTGAGAAAGTTTCGCAAACTTATGCGGGCAACTTATGCAAGGTTCCATAGGGGGAGACCCACAGGCCTTCATGAATACACCCAACCTTTGCATCATAAGGACACCCACGGGGTCGATGTAGAGAAAGGCCACAGGTCCTGTTGGAGCTGGTCTGATGAGAGAAAACTGATTGTATCCCGTATTCTTCGGGATGATCTCGCGCAGCACGTTCAAGCAGCTGAAGCGCAAGATGTTCGTGTCATTGTCTCGCTTCATATATGTTTGGGGATTGAAGATTTCTCGACTGTACCCCAGCTGATGTGATCCTCGAATCAGTGCGGAAACGATCTGGTTAGTACAGAAACGTTTCAGGAGGTAGACACCGTTGGGGTCCTCCGCATCCCGTTTCTCCCTGGCATACTGTAGGACCTCTTCATCAGTCACTTCCTTACTGACTTTGGTATCAGGATCGATCTCCGACAGGGCGCCAGGCCATCCGCCAAGAACATCATATCGACTCCCCTTTCCGAAGTTCCTCAGCGATGTTTTCTGGGATGTCGTCATCAAACCCGGGTTCCTCCTCGATGTCACCCGTCATCTCTGCATCCGGCTCTTGCTCGTTCTCAGAGATCGGAACATCATCGCCGGTTTCAGGCAACTCCAGCTCAGGCTCCGCAACCGTCTCCGTCTCCATTGCTTCATTCTCTTCCTCGGTTGTAGCAGGAACTGCTGCTGCTGCTGCTGCTGCTGCAGCTTCCATCGTTTGAGCGATGGATTCACTAGGGATCTCCGAAGGTGGCTCCCGTTGTGGTGTTCCTTGGTAGCGACCGCATGAGATGAACAGAGACCAACATGACGTACATCTTGTGAAGCACGCAGGAAGGATGTTGTAACTAACAGGCAGGGCAAACTCTCATCCTCCTTCCATCAGATTCCCGTCGAAGGTCTTCAGATCGCCAATGCTTGATGAGGAACATAATGCCCTCACGCATGTGATGGTGGCGCTTGGTGTCTTCATGATGCATATCAAGGGTCCTGCTCTTTTGCTGAATTGCGGGGACCGGATGACATTTCGCAAAGCAATTCCATGATTCTCCCCGGCGTCCTGTACCGTTCAAACTCTGGTAATAGTGGGGAAGCCGTGACTTCCAGCACCAGCTCGTCTTCCAATCTTCCATCGAAGATCTTTTCCACCAAGGCGAAAGAATGGCTGTCCCTTGGGCCGGGGACACAAAACCAGACTTCCTTGACAAAGGAGAAGGGCACTGGTCTTCCAATGATGGTCACTCCACTGTCTGTGATCTGTCCTCCTTCTCGGACAAGGTCACCCGATGGAACATGAAGCACGGCGAGCGGCATGCGTTCATTGCCATGTCCATGTACTCGTGTCTTCGTGGTAGCATTCCTTTTATCAAACGGTGCAAAGATCCCGACGTAGCTGTGGAGGCGTCCATGCTCCCACGAGTGATGACGCTGGTCGGAACCCCCGAAGGGGCCTTCCGAACCAGGTACGATGCCACTCTGTACAATGGAATCCATGTTTCGACAAAATGTTGCATGAAAGGCTCCTCCCAGACGGCCCAATAGACTCATCGAAGGAGAAATCGAGAACTTTTCATTGTCCAACTGGAGCAAGTTGTTCTCTGGGTTAGAATGGACTGAATGACCACTCGTGGCACGCACGGCCCAGGGTTTCACCCACCCATCGCATTGTCTGAAATAGCGTTTTCGGTGGTTGCGAGTATGTTCACTCATCTGGATCTCATGGATCTGATCGCGCACCGAGACAAGGACCCTTGAGTTGGCAATGCTAGAGAGGGTAGATCCGGCGGGTGATTCCTTCACCCTTACTCCAAGGAATTGGAGCCTGATCTTTGCCTCGTGCCTCTCAGAAGCGCATGCCATGTTCCCCTGGAAGAGCAACTGCAACCTTTCATTGTACACCCGCTTCCTCTGTTCAGGGTCAGTTGGCGATGCGGGTGCGGAAATAGCCCGACTTGGATGAGTCCATATAATTGTTCCATTCTCACCAGGTCCTCGATCAGCACCCATCCGCCTTCATCACATTTGATGACGTCCTGGAAGGTAACGCGACCTCTGCCGTCCAGCCATTTTGATCCCGCCTTCCTTGCAATTCGATGTCGGAGATCTGACTGAATACACGACAATGCCCAGTTGGCACTTTTCATGGTCTGGTACCGCAAGTTGCGCATCACGACGTCTTGGACAATGTCCCAGCGACTGTTGATGAACTTGGCTCCTTTCACTGGAATCAAATCAAGGATGCCACATCGGATCCGATGCCCGCCTCCGATGCATTCATATCCAGGATTCTCGTACCGGCCTGTATCGGCATCAAACGCGTAGATCGGCTGATCTCCTCGCTGAGGTAGGCAACGGTCCCGATGATCAGACATTTCCTCTATCAAATCAACGACTCTTTGGCTATTTTCGGGGCCCATGTCCTTCAGCTCGACTCCGCATGCTCAATGCAAACCACGCCTGGCTTGGACATCTGCGCAACAATTGTGCGGATTGTCGTACCTGATCAATTCCCCTCCACGAACGTGATCTGGCTTTAGCCTTCGGCCTTCGCTCCGAAGATGCTGCACACGCATTCTCCGTCGCATCAACGTCCATGCTGTCATTCTGAGTGGTAGACGCTGAGGCAGATTGAGCACGTGCTGGATCACGATCAGATCTGGGATAGCGAATGAGGTAGGTCTTGATGGCTCAAGGCCTCGGGCCACCGTCTCGCGGGTGACGACGTCATTGTCACACTGCGCAAAAGTATGGGAGTCACTGCCGCAGGCTTTGCAAAACATGAGCCTTTGGCGATCGAACTCCATCACACCAGTCTGAAGTATATTCAGACTGTCCAGCAAGTGTGCGACTCCCCTTTCGCGTCCTTCATGCAGAGGGTCATGAGCGACATCACCTTGTTCTTCCTCAGGTTGGCCGTCGACTTCCATCTCCTGACTTGGCATTGGGGGTGCAACAGACACTCCTTCCGCACGATCTGGATCCACTGTGTCCTGTGCATTTTCAGCAGTGCCTTGGCCCGCAGGAAAGGTGTCACCGTCGGCAATCACAGTAAAGTCGATGGAAAACCCAGACGTCATCGATGCGACGATTTCGGCCATCTCTTCGTTCTTCCGTGGTGTCCTCTTACATGGAGAATCGGCATATATAGGTGCGACATGAATACATATATAAATATGTAGACATATGTATATGTATATGTATATGTATATGTATATGTATATGTATATGTATATATATATATATATAGCATATACAATGTGTGTACGTCTGCAAAACATTTATATATACATACATGTACTCATCTTTTTCCTATGCCACAACTTCAACATGTATCTACATATGCATATACAATATACTGTATATATATATATATATATATAGAGAGAGAGAGAGAGAGAGCATATACAGTATAAGGCTACATGTAAATATATGGTACATATCGTGTATGTATAAAAAAGATACATGTATACACAAAGAGGCTACATGTAAATATATGGTACATCGTGTATGTATGAAAAGAGTACAGTATACACAGTCGAGTCTAGCTCGTATGTAAACTTTGTATGTAAATATATTGTACATTTAATCTATATACATATGTATGTCTATGCATAAAAACATTTATATATACATACATGCACTCATATTTTCCTACGCCACAACTTCAACATGTATCTAAATATGCATACACAATATACTATATATATATATATATATATATATGTATATATAGCATATACAGTATAAGGCTACATGTAAATATATGGCACATATCGTGTATGTTTAGAAAGAGTACAGTATACACAAAGACGCTACATGTAAATATATGGTACATCGTGTATGTATATAAAGAGTACAGTATACAAAGTCGAGTCTAGCTCGTATGTTAACTTTGTATGTAAATTTATTGTACATTTAATCTATATATAAATATATAAATACCTGTGGCTCCGAACGCCGGGAAATTAAACAGCAATATAGTAGAACCGGGTTATTAGCATCACGACTAGTTAAAAAGGGTCGGCGCCCGTATTTAGGCTATTTCTCCTGTAAATGCTGAAACTCCTTGGTATCAGGTCTATGGGGCGGGATTCTTATCTCGATATTAAGGTCATTACCCTAAACCCCATCCAAATCTTCCGTCTGCGCAGGTTCGCTCCCACTGCTCCAGCTTTGCAACGCCCGTTTGATGCTGATGCTTTCTTAGGGCAGAGAGTTCAGGAAATTGCAGCTAAACATAGGCTTTGGGACGATGCTTAATTGTTAGAGGAGAAGGATAACTGGTCGAATGATTTCTTCGGTAATAGGCATGATCAATTAGTCTCCCGAATAATGTAGTAGGAAGATCCGTTTGCCTCCAATGGCTCCGGCTGAAATTTTCTGGCAGGAGGCCTGCTGGAGCTCATTCGGAAAGGTTGTGAATTACTTAATGTGGTGTAGCCTTTATGTATTCAGGAGGAGAGAAGCTTCAGGGTTTCGGGTTAGGGTTTAGGATACCCCGCACCAATCCCGTGACGATTTTTATCGTCGCAGGCTGACTTTGGCTTCGCGGCTGCACCAGCGGAGATGGACCTGGGCGAGGCGGGCGCTGTCTGGGTTCACCTCTCGTACCTGTTAGTGTGGGTGGTTGGGTAAGTGATTTCAGCTTGGTGGTTGGGTCGGTGGGTGGGTTACTAAGTACTTAACTGGTGGGTCGTATATGTGAGTTAATCTTACTCGTCTAGGTGCGGGAGAGAGAGCGAGAGAGAGAGAGAGAGATAGGCCTTTGTGCACGTCTATTGGAGTATGTCGGTGAGCTTAAAAAGGGCATGTGTAAACTTGTGGACAAACAGTTCAGTGCTTGTGTGCAAGAAACTCTGACCGCATTTCCCCGAAAGCCATTTGGGCAAATTGTTGTGAAAGTTTTGAGTCGTGTAAGGTGTAAGTCTACAGCCATGCCAAAGCGATTTGCGGATCTCTCTGGGTTGCCACTTCAATGGGAGATGATTCGGGGGCTTCGGACTGCCACGGCCAAGGGCCGTTCTCTCATGAGGCCTACCGCGCCAACTATGATCAGTTGTGCAGGATCTCTGAAGGATTGCTCCGAGAACTATGACGTTCTGCATGCAGTGCTTTCTGTGATGGCCACGTGCGGCACAGTGGACACTCCGACTGTGGATGCCCTGTCGGAAGCTGTGCAAAAGTATTGCAAGGAAGCCAACTACCCGGACGAGGCAGCGATCCCCTCCGTAGCTCACAGAGACAGCTGGTCGATCAAGCGATGCCTCACGGCTCTGAAGCGGAAGTGGTCAGAGGGGAAATCCCGAAGGACCCAGGTCATGCATGCAGGCATTTGCAATTATGCATGAGTGTATCGAGGATTGCGCTGATCGGTAAGTGTAGTGTTGGCCCGATAGGATGAAAAGCTTCGAGAGCTCATTGCCCTGTATGACACGGCTGTTGAGCGGGTCCCTGCAAGCCGCTTGTTTCACATGGTTCAGCTTGAAATACATGTGTTGTGAGTTGTAGGGTGTGTGTGTATATATATGTGTGTCTGTGTTTCCCAGATCATATAGACAGCCAAAGGGGGTGTGAAGCTGAGGACGGTGTTAGCATTGTTCACCGCATGAATAGCGATGAAGATGTGACGGTGGATACGGACGAGTATGCAGCTCCAATCGCTGCACCCAGTGCCGATGGGACGCCACCGGCCGAGAATGCAGCGATTGTAAGGGCTGACGATGATGAAGTTATGGATGATGCGGCACCAGGTCCCTCCTCTTCATCCTCGATTGCGGCTCCATCGGCCCCCGCTACGGCTCCAGAGGCTTCCTGGGATACTCCACCGGAAGGGGCGGGAGTAGGCGATCTTGTCTACGCCTTCGAGGATTCTGAGGAGGAGCAGGAGAGTGCGTATGTGAAAGTCGAAGGCCAAGCTTCAGCTGAGCCATCCCCAGCGCCGTCGAGCTCTGGGCATGCTTGCAAGAGGGCTTTGCCGGAGCCTGCATCATGGAGTGACAGGGCTCCTGCTCGGCCCTTGTCCAACATCGAGGCACGACTGGCCGCATCACGAGCGAAGCTGCAGGCGCAGCTGCTGCAGCTCGGCTGTGGAATTTCTGGGGGGACGGGGGGGGTTGGGGCGGGGGTGCGTGGGGGAAGACACACATGATTGCATGGTTTTCACTCTGTATAACATTAAAAACTTATGGTGATCTGAGGCTTCGTGCTGAGCGTGCTCGCTTGGGTACTTCGGATGCATTCATTCTGTGCACTGACTATTAATTGTTTTGTATGTTTGTGATGTCCGGTTATGTGTGTGTGCATCTCTTTCTGTCTCGTGGTTCCTCTCACACTGGAGTTTTTCTAAGTTTCTCGCCATCTCTCTGCTTCTGATTTATGCATATGTCTCTGTGTGTGTGTGTGTCTGTCCGTATTCGGGCCTTCTGTCTTTGCAGCAATTCGGCATGGTATATATCCTAGTCAGTTATCATTCAGGACGGACAACGAGGATCGTCGAGGAGCAGGTGATATTGGACTCGGATGAGGAGACGGCAAGGGTGCCAGGGCATGCGGCATTTACGGTAATGGATGGTCAAGACACATTGCCTTACATGCCGGATACACAGATGGTTGCAAGCATCCTCACAACAGAAGAAGAAACCTTCATGCGAGATGGGACTGACGAGATCGTCACGAAGCAGCCAATCACTAGAACCGAGAACCACATCGAAGAGCCAACCGCCACAATCCCCATGGAAGAGACCGTCGAGCACCAACTCGCAGAGATGATTGCTACTATCGACCGCATCGAAGAGCCAATTGCTACAACCGAGAGCCAGCCGATCCCGACAAGTCAAAGCCCCGTCGAAGAGCCGATCACCCAAACCGTGAACCCCATCGAAGAGCCGATCTCCACAACCCAGAACCCCATCGAAGAGCCGATCACCGCAACCCACAACCCCATGGAAGAGCCGATCACCGCAACCGAGAACCCCATGGAAGAGCCGATCACCGCAACCGAGAACCCCATGCAAGAGCAGATCAACGCAACCGAGAACCCCGTGGAAGAGCCGATCCCTGCAACCGAGAACCCGATTGAAGAGCCGAACCCGATGGAAGAGCCAGCTGGTGCAAGCAGCAGTGCCAGTGCTAGCGCAGTACCGGACGCAGCGGATGCACCCGAGACCGAGCAGTTTATGGAACTGTCCCCTCAAAGCAAGGCCTACATTGTGGCATCGTTGTTTGTTCCATGTCACGCACGTAACATATTATAACAATTGTATTAAATGTGTTTGTGTACGTCTTCGAGTCTGGTGACCCTGCAGGTGTTGACTCGTGCTGAAAGCAATGTGAAGAGCACCAACGAGTGCAAGGGCAGGGGTCGGGGAAAGGGCCGCGGAAAGGGCCGCGGAAAAGGCAAGGGCCGGGGTAAGGGCAAGAAAAGCAAGGTGGCCGAGCCAGCCGTGGATCAGGAAGCCCCGGAAGGGGAGCGGGCCAAGGCATCGGGAAAGGGAAAGGGAAAGCGTGCGAAGGCTCCGGTGGAGGGGTCTGAGAGGGTCTTTCCAAGGGGCTGCATGGAAAGTCGAAAGGCAAGCGTGGTGCCAGAACATCCAAAGTCCAGGCTCCCGCGAATGATGAGCCAGAGCCTTCTGAGGAGGCTTCGGGGCCATCCACGGATATGCCTGTGGATGAACCGCTTTGCTCTGAGGCTTCGGCGACTGCTAAGAAGCGCAAGCTCCGGAAGATCAAGTGTCGGGGCCTCAAGAAGATGAGAAAGGCCAAGAAGGCAGCAAAGGCCAGCAGGGCCTCGGCAGATCCTGAGGATGAGCTCCCAGCAGCTCCCGCCGCGAAGCGTGGGAGAAAGGCCAGGAGGGCCCAGATCGTGCACGAGCCCGCGCCGGTAGAGGGAGATGCGGACTTCGAGTACCCAGCTTCGTTTGCTGGGAGGGCTACCCCCAAGGTTCAGGGTGGCAACGCGTGGCACATGTGGTGCGGCGAGTATGGTCCCCCTGGGGCGCGCCCTACGCGCTTCGCGCGCTTCGCGCGTTTCGCGCGCCTTCGCGCGCTTCGCGTGGCTTCGCGCGGCCTCGCGCGCTTCGCGCCTCCGCGCGCCTCCGCGCGCCTTCGCGCGCTTCGCGCGCTTCGCGCCTCTCGCGCGCCTCTGGCGCCTCTTCGCGCGCTTCGCGTGGCTTCGCGCGCTTCGCGCGGCTTCGCGCGCTTCGCGCGCTTCGCGCCTCTCGCGCGCCTCTGGCGCCCCTCCGCGCCCGCTTCGCGCCTCTCGCGTGCCTCTGATGGCACCCCTATGCTTCGCGCGGCTTCGCGCGCTTCGCGCGCTTCGCGCCGCTTCGCGCCTCTCGCGCCTTGCCTCTTGTTAAAGGATTTTTTTTTAAATCCTGCTGTGTTTCGGCCTTCGACGCCTGGAAAAAGGTGTAACAAAAATCTTGGGCGGGGCCTTGCTTTGGCTGAACACTCACAGCTGGGGGGGGTCATGAATGAAGCTTATGTATCAGCGAAAAATCACAGACAACCTGAGTTGTAGCCCATACTACAAAAGATAGAAATAGTTGGAAACCATTTTCTAATATACTGTGTATGTTTCAAAAAACATAAATGCCTATTTCGATTTCTCGAATGCAGGCAACCACATGTCGAGCACCAGTTTCAAATATTTCAGGTTATCGAATTAGGTTCGCAAATTCGTGGGACCACATCAAATGTCACAGAAAACAGAATTAATGCACTTCAAGTTGTTCGTTGTTTCATATGTGTTTCTGCAGCCACGACACGTGCACACATGCCATGTGGTTTCGTGGTTTTCAAGGCCCTATGTTAATTCTTGGCTCGTATAATAATAGGCTTCTTTAAAATTTGCCAGGTTCGAGATGTAGGTCCATTGCTTCATGAAGGTAGGAACAATAGCTTCTAGGTCATCTCACCCAAGGCTGGAACAACAGATAGATTCCTACCTTCTCCTACCCCCCTTTCAGACACCACAATCCAAAAGCCCCAATCCCCAAAGCCCTAAACCCTAAGCCTATAAGCCTAAACTCCTAAATACCCCGCGTACCTTTCAGGGCCCTGCAGGCAAGCTCGGCGACAAGGCGAAGGAGATCAGACGGCGCCGCGAAGGCGCCAAAGAAAAGTGCCGCGATGGCGCAAGACGACGACGACGACGCTGCGAGGGCGCAGAAACGTTCAGAGAAAATGTGCCGCGATGGTGCAGAAACAGACAAGATGCGCCGCGATGTCGCAGAGAAGAGGACGACAGAGCATGTGCCGCGACGGCGCAGTGTCAGTAGCTAGTGCACCGCGAGGGTGCAGAACTCTAGGCACTAATGTGCCGCGCCGCGACGGCTCTCTATTATCTCTCAAATGCGCCGCGACGGCGCATCTCTTCCTCCTTCGCTCTCTGATCTCTTTTTCCTTTCTGGTTGCACATGTGCAGTGACGGTAAGGCTTTGACAGCGCCGACCTGGTCTAGGCTGCAGTGGCTGCCTGAGTCGTGGAAGCATGAAGCGCGAATGTTTGCAGGTTGTGACCAGAATATTGAATGAGGCATTGTGAGCGGCAGTCGAAGTTGCAAGCCGCCTTTTTTCTGATCACCGAGGCCGTGGAAGACGCTCTCCACTGGAGGCCCAGTGCCAGTGCACAGCTGTGCCGGTCCACGAGCGCTAGCGTGTTGACAGACTACGACGATTCTGGGCCACCGGGTGGCAGGCTGATTGACTACAGCAGGCATCTACATCATCTGAGCGGCTTGGCAGCTGGGCCCTGAGACTTACACCAAGTGAAGGTTTGTGGAGTCTAACCCGGGCCATGCGTACTAGGAGTCCATGTGACCGTCTTGGTCGGAGTCACTTCCGGAAGGCACCTGGGTCATTTCTGTGGACGGATAAGCACGGAAGAAAGGATCTTTCATATAATGCATCACAGACGCCGGTGTTGTCGGGGGGGTCCTTTCGGCCGGCGATGTGGGAGTGGGGCCTCTCATCTCCGACATCAGGTCCCTGATCCTTGCCTGTGCAGGGAGCCACCGCAGAATCTCCATTAAGTAGCCTCTGCGTGCGTAGCCGTGCGCATCTCAAAGACCAAGCACTGGTGTAGGGTAGCCTTGCACCGATGAAGTCTAAGCTCATCGGCAGATGTAAAGTATTTGCTCCCCACCTCCTCCTTGCTGAGAGTCGCGAGCGCTTCTGTCAGCTCCTCCTCGGTCGTGCAACTTCTCACTAAGACCTTCATCCTTTGTCACTCTTGACGCTCTTGCCTTCGACTCCATCTCTTCTTGCATCTCTGTCTCGAGGAGGCCCTCGGCAGGAGTTGATGATGTTGGTACTAGCTGATCCCGGGTCGAAAGAGCCTGCCTGCGCAGCGCGGGCAGTAAGCATGTCCTCCGCAGCCTGGGACTCGAGAGCAGAGTAGCTTGGGCAGCTGCCTGCGACGACCTCAATTTGCAGGCTTCGTCCTGCAATTGTCATTAAAGCTGCATTAATGAGAAAGCAACTTGGTTGGCTCTAGGCAGAGGGTCTTGGACTCGGCATGACTACGGCAGGCAACAGCGATCCAAGGCCGTGGCCCAGCGAAATAAATCCAAACCTGCGCCAATCAAAGCTGAGACATGATCCGGGACACCGGTGCCGCCACTCACCCGTCAGTACCGGTACTGAACGGTGAGAGCCCTGCGGGTGTATGTCTACCCAGGCTGCTGAGAGAAGGACCCTCTGTCTCAGCCCTCGGATGGATAGGGCCAGACCCCTGGCTCTCACCCGTCAGTACCGGTACTGACGGGTGAGTCGCCCACCGCTGGCACGACAAGTCTATCAACCTTCACCCTCAGCTTTTAAATCCAAATCCAAAGTATCTTCCGTCAGCTTTCATGTTCATGAGCTCTTTCGCCGATGTGAAAATCGCAGGTGCGCGCGCGCATCTGCGCACCTTTACCCAGGCCGTGGCCCCTATCCGGCCCTTGCCCCCAAACTCTGCCTGGGCCCGGTCCCTCCCACATCCTGTCCTGCCTGAAACCCCAAAACTGAGATATCTGCGGCGAAGTAAAACAAAGCATTCCCCTCTATCAGGGTCTGGGAAGCGTTGGAATGGCGGAAAGGCTACTGCTGGCCTCCAGCCAAACCGGCGGGATCCCGGATCCCGCAGACTTCCTCGGAGTCTGTAGGCCAGACGGCATCTATCACGGAGTTCTGCAGTAGCTCCCTGCAGAGGCAACGGTCAGCGAGCTGATGTCGGAGATGAATGCCCGGCTCAAGAGCCCGACATCACCGGCCAAGAGCACCCCCACAACACCGGTGTCTGTGATGCATTATGTGACATGCATACTTTCTTCTGTGCTTATTCCATCCACAGAAACTTTTGGGTGACGAGCTGGGGTTGGGTTTCGGATTGCTTTTTCTCTGGGGTGGAGGGTTTCGGCTTTCAATCATCCCCAGTCCCCCGGAAGCATCCAAAACTGTTAAAGGTACTTTATAGGAACCCCTCACGAATGGATCCAATGATCCAGGTGCCTACCGCGACGAGTGAACCCGACTCAGACCGGTCGTCGTAGGGCCCAGACTTCCGGCTGCAAAGATCAGAGATGTAGACAATGCCTGCTGATGGCATAGAACGGTAGTCAACATGCTAGCACGACGAACTGGCTGGTGGGCTGGCCGCAGCTGTGCACTGGGCCTCTAGTAGCGGAGAGCGTCTTCCGCGGCAGCCTCGGCAGAAAGAAAAGTGGTTTGCAACTTCGACTGCCCGTCACAGTCATTCCAGACGGAGTCTGCTCATTGCGGTTCTAGTCGCTATATGATGAACACATTCGGGGCTTCTTCCACGACTGAGGCTACTGACTACTGCATTCTGCCCGGTCGACGCTGTCACAGCCTTACTGTGACTGCGTGTGCGCAACCAGAACATCTTCGAGGGAGCAGCAACATTAAAGCGCCCAGACACCGTCACTCAGGCAGTGGCCACTGATATCACGGCGCATCGTCGAAAGTGGCACAGACAGCCTGAGAGAGAGAGAGGCACAGAGATCAGAGTAAGGGAGAGAATGCGCCGTCGCGGCACATGACAAGTCTACATGCACCCTCGCGGTGCGCTGCCTACTTGCTGCTCCTGCGCCTTCGCGGCACATGATGTGTTCCCCCCTATGCGCCATCGCGGCGCATCTTGTCTGTGTCTGCGCCATCGCGGCGCATCTTCTCTGAGTGCATGTCTGCGCCATCGCGGCGCATCTTCTTTGTCTGTGGCTGCGCCATCGCGGCACAATCGTCGTCGTCGTTGGTCGTCATTCGTCGCCTTTGCGCCATCGCGGCACATTTTCTTTGGCGCCTTCGCGGCACCGTCTGATCTCCTTCGCCTTGTCGCCGAGCTTGCCTGCAGGGCCCTGAAAGGTACGCGGGGTATTTAGGAGTTTAGGCTTATAGGCTTAGGGTTTAGGGCTTTGGGGATTGGGGCTTTTGGATTGTGGTGTCTGAAAGGGGGGTAGGAGAAGGTAGGAATCTATCTGTTGTTCCAGCCTTGGGTGAGATGACCTAGAAGCTATTGTTCCTACCTTCATGAAGCAATGGGCCTACATCTCGAACCTGGCAAATTTTAAAGAAGCCTATTATTATACGAGCCAAGAATTAATATAGGGCCTTGAAAACCACGAAACCACATGGCATGTGTGCACGTGTCGTGGCTGCAGAAACACATATGAAACAAAGAACAACTTGAAATGCATTAATTCTGTTTTCTGTGACATTTGATGTGGTCCCACGAATTTGCGAACCTAATTTCGATAACCTGAAATGTTTGAAACTAGTGCTCGACATGTGGTTGCCTGCATTCGAGAAATCGAGATAGGCATTTATGTTTTTTGAAACATACACAGTATATTAGAAAAATGGTTTCCAACTATTTCTATCTTTTGTAGTATGGGCTACAACTCAGGTTGTCTGTGATTTTTCGCTGATACATAAGCTTCATTCATGACCCCCCCAGCTGTGAGTGTTCAGTCAAAGCAAGGCCCCGCCCAAGACTTTTGTTACACCTTTTTCCAGCCGTCGAAGGCCGAAACACAGCAGGATTTAAAAAAAATCCTTTAACAAGAGGCAAGGCGCGCCTCTGGCGCCCCTCCGCGCCCGCTTCACGCCTCTCGCGCGCCTCTGATGGCACCCCTCCGCGCGCCTTCGCGCGCTTCGCGCGGCTTCGCGCGGCTTCGCGCGCTTCGCGCGTTCCGCGCGCCTCCCCGCGCCTCCGCGCACCTTCGCGGGCTTCGCGCGCTTCGCGCGCTTCGCGCCGCTCCACGCGCCTCCGCGCCCCTTCGCGCGGTTTGCGCCGCTTCGCCCCTCTCGCGCGCCTCCGCGCACCTTGGCGCGCTTTGCGCGTTTCGCGCGCTTCGCGCTGCTTCGCGCGCTTCGCGCCGCTTCGCGCATCTCACGCGCCTCTCGCGCGCCTCCGCGCGGCTTCGCGCCGCTTCGCACGCTTCGCGCCCTTCGGTTGGTGTCGCGCGGCTTTTCGCGCGGCTTTTTGCGCGCTTCGCGCCCTTCGCACGCCCCGCGCTTCGCGCGCTTCACACGCGCCCGTCGCGTGGGTTTCGCGCGGGACTTTGTGCGTGCATATATATAGAGCCCACGTGCATGCATCCATGTGCGAAAAGTGTTGTTTCAACGAACGTATTCTTCATGTGAAGCTGCATACTCCGAACTTGGGGCGTTTACCGAGGCTGGCCGGCTTGCAAGCACACGTTGGTCTGTGGTCGACTCGAAGTAGTTCCGAAATCCATATGGCCCTGTTGACCTCTAAAAAAATTTTGAACAACCTGAGAACCCTAGGAGGATCATGGGACTTATAAAGTATAAGGTTATAAGTACCTTCATTGGGGTTATAAGTAATTATAATTATCGTTACCTTAACCCAGCCTTGAGTGCTTGGCACCAGCTGCCCAAGCTGGCGAGCACCTCCTCCCGACGCCGGGCAAGTTCCTCTGAGCTGAAGCGTGGAAAAGAAGAGCAAGAGCGCTTCATGCACCACGTAGGCCTTTCTCTGCCCTTTCTTAGAGAATCAGCTGCATTTAGTTGGGCAGGTCTGCGTGATTGCAACATGAGAACTCGCAGCTGCATGTCTGCCCAACCCGAGATGGACGAAGCAAATGGTAAATGTGGTAAGGTTACAATCGCTGCTGCTGATGTGTTTTCGACTGCGATTAGACCGTCATCGTTTCATGTTGACGCTTCTACCTTCACTTCACAATATAAGCCAACCCCGACTCCACATGACACCTCCTCCACCAGAACCCATGAACCAAGACCCCAAAACCCTCTGAACAAGGAGCCAAGATCAAACATCCCCGTCACTGTCTTCCACGATGATCCGGAGAAATGACGTAATTATGCCAAGGACATGACACCTCCTCCAGCAGGAACCCATGAACCAAGACCCTAAACCCTGCAAAGAGTCCTGATGGGCGGCCTCTGTCGAGACCTCCATCGCCGCGACCTTTCGCAGTAGAACAGGGGGGCAAGATCAAACATCGGCATTACTGTCTTCCACGAAGACCCGACTCTGGGCAAGTTCCTCTGAGCTGGAGCGCGGAAAAGAAGAGCCGGAGCGCTTCATGCACGACGTAAGCCATGTGCTGCGCTTGGATGGGGTGCTCTTAGCAGTAGAATCAACTGCAGTGAGTTGGGCAGATCTGCGTGATTGCAACATGAGAAGTCACCGCTGTATGGCTGCCCAACCCGGGATGGACGAAGCAAATGGTAAATGTGGTAAGGTTACAAGCGCTGCTGCTGATGTGTTTTCGAGTGCGATTAGACCGTCATCGTTTCATGTTGACGCTTCTGCCTTCACAGTAAGCCAACCCCGACTCCACATGACACCTCCTCCAGCAGGAACCCATGAACCAAAACCCCAAAACCCTCTGAACAAGGAGCCAAGATCAAACATCCCCGTCACTGTCTTCCACGATGATCCGGAGAAATGACGTAATTATGCCAAGGACATGACACGTCCTCCAACAGGAACCCATGAACCAAGACCCCTAAACCCTGCAAAGAGTCCTGATGGGCGGCCTCTGCAGAGACCTCCCTCGCCGCGGCCTTTCACAGTAGAACACGGAGGCAAGATCAAACATCGCCGTCACCCATGGCCTTGCGCTTGGCCGTGAGGGCTTGGGAGAGCTTCGTCGCACAAGTTTCGCACAACTTGACAGTCCTGTCAAGAGAGCAAAAATGCAAAGTCAAACTTGTCAGCAAGAAGCTGTTGTCCTGACTCCAACGTAAGCTAACAGGTAATTAACGTGCAGACCCGATGCAAACGAGGTCGACCCCCACCGCCTCGGAAGTGGCTTCTTCGCAGCTGCCTTCGCAGCCTCCAGCAGGCTTTCCTTCTTGACTTCGCGCAGAGCGCGCGTTTTGCTGCACAGCATGCATTTCGCGGCTCGCTTCACCATGACGAAGGCTGGCAGACCTACAACTAGGAGAATGCTTGCGCTTTGGCTGGCTGTAGCTTGGAGCTTTGTCTCTGCGTGTATGCTGATTCGTGTCGTGCGAGGTCCTGCTTGTGGCACAGATGGCACAGCATTTCCTCATCTGTGTTATACATTGATCTGCTAGTATGGTCAACATGAACTGAGCCCGTTGACTACGTAGCTGCCCTGCTGTGATAAAACGGCAGGCACGAGTTCGGCGATAGCGTCGACTCGACGGCGCAGCTCCGGCGGCAAGGTGACATGCGCTGCGTCCCGGCCCGACGCATGTCTGTGGTATGTAGACATGCCAGGTGAGTGATTACAGGCCCTACTACTACTACTACTACTACTACTACTACTACTACTACTACTACTACTACTACTACTACTACTACTACTGCTACTACTACTACTACTACTACTACTACTACTACTACTACTACTACTACTACTACTACTACTACTACTATTTTCAATTGAACGCTGTGCGACCGGGCTCAGCACATTGCGGGCGATTGCCGCGGTGCACGCACTTGGTGTGAAACTGACTCGATTGACCCTATGACTGATATGCTCGAAGAGGCGAGCACCAGCTCCCTTGATGTCGTGCTACTTACCACTACTGCTACTGCTGCTACTACTACAACTACTGCTACTACTACTTGCGTGGGGATTTGATCTTGATGATGTTCCTTGTCGCTCACCCCACCGAGCTATGTTGGGTAATGATGTGGTTGCCCTCTACAGACTCGATCACATTTCTCTCTATCCCACGTGTCAGCTTCACTCCCTGTGCAGGCAGATCCAGAGCTCGCTTGTTTTGTTTTGCACCTTCGCGGCCAGCGATGGATCGTCGTTTTCTTAAACGGATGAGGGGATTTCATACATACATAATAAATACATACATATATAAATCACCACAGACACACATGCACATACACATGCGGCTTCGCGCGAAGCGAAGCGCATGCAGGCTGCTGGCGTGGCTTCGCACGTGCTTTGCGCGGCTCGCGCCGGCTTCGCGCGGCTTCACGAGAGCTGCTTCGCGTGACTTGGCGCATGCTTCGCGCGCGCATCTGGGTATATGTTTCGTGCGGCTTCGCGCACCAGACGCCGGCTTTGCGCACCTGCGTGCGCGCACCTTCGCGCGCGGCTTCGCACGGCTTCACGCAGCTTCGCGTGCGGGCTGCTTCGCGTGGCTTCGTGCGTGCACCTGCGCGCACTCTGCGTGCGCACACCTGCGCACGCGGCTTCGCGCGGGCTGCTTCGCATGGCTTCGCGCGTGCCCCTGCGCCCGCTCGGTTTCGCGCGGCTTTATAGCGGCTTCGCGCGCTTCGCGTGGCTTCGCGCAGGCTGCTTCGCGAGGCTTCGTGCGTGTGCGCGCGCCCGGCTTCGCGCCGCTTCGCGCGGCTTCGCACGGCTTCGCGCGCTTCGCGCGGCTTCGCGCGTGCTTCTTGCGCCCGCGCTTCGCGTGCGCTTCGCGCGGCTTCGCGCGCTTCGCGCGCCTCGCGCCGGCTTCGCGCGGCTTCGCGCGCCCGCGCTTCGCGTGGCTTCGCGCGTGCTTCGCGCGCCCGCGCTTCGCGCGCGCTTCGCGCGGCTTCGCGCGCTTCGCGCGCCTCGCGCCGGCTTCGCGCGGCTTCGCGCGGCTTCGCGCGCCCGCACTTCGCGCGCGCTTTTCGCGCGTCTTCGCGCGCTTCGCGCGGGCTAGTCCCGCCCCCAGGGCGGATCATTCTGGGTGCGGCATGACGAAGGCCTTCGAGACCAAGGTGACCCCGCTCATCAAGGATCGCTCGCGAACCAAGCGTCAGGCGCAACAAGCTGCTTTGTATACGCATGCATGTATATGTATGCAAGAGCATGCTTTCATGTCACACATGCATTTGTTTTTGTGTTCACTCGTGAATTCATTAATCCGTGTGTGTCAATGAATTGACTTCTCTGTGTATCTGTGCTTCTGCTGCCAGAAAGACTTCTGGACCTTCGCAAAGTGCGCCTACGAGAGGGAGGAGGACCTTGATGCCGAGAGCTGCTATGCCTTTTTCGAAACCCAAGCAGACACCTACATCCGCGATTTCATGCCCCAAGTGACTTGGGTTGATTTGCATATATGTGCATGTGTGTGTGTGCGTTTATGTTGTGTGTCTGTAACTATATCTGTGGGGGATCGAGGTGAACATTGTTCCCGACTCACTGATTCCTCTCGGTAGGGTTTCTGGCTTAAACCACTCAGCCCTCGTGCCCCAGTATGATCAAGCCTGAGTTTAAGCTGGGATATATTTACATATAATGCCCCATTCTCTATAAAGCATTCTTAACGATAGTCCCAACCCAGAATAATTAGTCGCAGTACTTCCAAGGACCCGTCAGCCGAGCCCGCCGAGGACTGATGACACAGAGCTTTGCAACAACGAATTTTGGGTGCTGTCGTGCATCTAGAACAATTCGGGGTGGCAGCACTACATACAACTGCCGCCTGGAGTCTCATAGATTGGCTCGTGTTGGGGAGCCCGAGGTTCCATGTGCAGCATAGATTGTCTGTTGTCTGCCTGTCACGGCTTTATAGCAAGGCCGTGCTTTCCAGATATGCTTCGTGTTTCAATGCTGAGCGAAGATTCCAGCTGATGCAGTGTGTTGACCACGCTTGCAATCCATCGTCGGTGCTCGATGAAACAAGTCGACTTGCCCAACTGATGAGCTTTCATATCTTAATCGATTCAATCCCAAACCCTAAACTAGAACGATGCACTCCCAATATAGCTGCTTGCACCATTCCGATGCACTCGCAAACTCAACTAGGATGACCGAAGCAGCCCATATGAGTTTTGATCTATAGAAACCTTGGCCCCTGGCTCGGCAGGTGATTTCCACCATCGCTTCTGCTGGCGATGTCCCTTCGAGGCAAGAGAGGCTTGTGCAGAGATGGGTACATACAATCTTCCGTGGAGGCAGGTCTCCCAGGCATGTGTTATCCGCAATTCATGTATGGAGAGTTCGACCAATCGGTGCATACATCATGCGACTATAGGGCAACTCTAGTGGGAGTGTACCGAGATTAGATTTGGGGTTCAGCTGCAGAGCATGATCGAGTGCATGAGGGCAATGTTGCTCTGCTATTCTGGCTGCGCCTGAACACTCTCGCACCGTGGCTTGCAGCTGATTTCGACCTTGCATGTTCCGCTCACAAACGTACAGGCACTCGCTTATCCATGCATTCCAGGTGTAGGAATTCCCTAAACAACCCTGTAATTGGTATGAGCCTGATAAAAATCCTAACCCGCCGATATAGATTAGATCAAAGGGTTGACCACAATATGTTTTGATGATATACAATAGCTGCTCGATTGTGTTGACCATGGCCCGCCCGGATCTGGACTTCTTGGTGCGACGCCTCTTCAATATCGGGGCACCCAAAGCCACTTGATCTAAATATCGATTGATCCATTACACATAAGAGTCTGAAGAAGGTCGTGCATGTGATGTCATATACTCAAACTGCACTGAGATGTTCGTGCTTTGTGTGCTCTTGGTTCTATGGAACCGGGACCTACGTTTCGACCAGGCATTGGGGCGCAGAATTCTGCAAGTGTCAGATTCGGTGATTTAAAATACCATGCAATTAGTATGACCTATCTCACTGCTGGAACAGGAGTTCGACTTCGTGGAGCACTTCTCCGGTGCTGGTGTACTGACTCAGGCTGCGACCGAGAATGGCTATCAGGCTGCCAGTGTAGATATCCTGCATTCACGAGGGATGAACATTTTGAAGCCGTCTGGATATGGGAGACTTGCCTTCAACTTCACTTTGACCACTATAGAAGCCTAGAAGAACCTCCTGGGGGCCTGTTGTCTTTGGGTGCCGCTTGAGGACCTTTATTGCCTCGATTCTGATGGGACGCCAGAAAGGTGGGTTTGTTGCCTGGCTCGCTGTGGTTTGTTCGTCGTGGGTAGAACTGAGCCGGCCATCGACTCGGCGCAGTTGGTGCTGTCCACATGGGCATGAGGAGTATCCTTCAGTGGCCGCTGGTAATTTGATGGCGGCACGGTTGCCTGTCGCTATAAATCGCAACCCTAAACCCTAAAAGCCTTAAACTTTCCCTAAACCCTACACCCTAAACCTTAAACCCCTTGTTCGGCAAGCTTGCTAAACTACGTGTATGATATTCTAGTAGAAATCTCCTTAGCTGCTGTTTCGAAACCTGTAGAGTGATAAACCTATCTCAGAAGTGCCTTTCTGCTCATTTTGATTGTGGCTGCCGGCGGCAACTTCATAGTCGAGAATCCCAAAAGCAGTCTGCTATTCCGACATGCCCGACTACGTTGGGTATGCCAATGCCTCAAGGCCAAAAAACCTCGTAGATTCGCCCATATAGTATAGCCAAAACCCGAAACTCGATATTCCTCCATAGGCTTAGCTAGACTCCTGTTCATGTATCCACCCAAAAGTTGACCTAAAACTACCTTCCTGCAGGTGTACAAGATTGGCATATGGTTGGGCCACTACGGGGCGACGACGCCGAAGCCCGTGTGTCTTTGGTCCAGCACTTCCAATATTTCTGGGTTGTGGTCCCGCTTCAGTCTCAAGAAATTTCGCGATTCCCAACGAGTGTCGGCAACCCGGGTCTTAAAACCTATGAAGCGCTGTCGGAACGCTGCGGGGAAGCATTGCTGGGTGGGCACCCGTGATTTACAAAGAACACAGATGCCGGGCCTCATTGATGTATGGTCCGAATGAGCCAGCCTGAATTTGTCAAATTATCCAGTTGAACTATAGTAGGGGTTCAACGGAAATCCTTTGGTTGAGCTTGTTGTATTATATCCATGCATCCCTATGCCGCGGATCCTCGGATCTTCGGGAGTACGGAAAGGTTTGGGACAAGGGATCATATAGTGTTTAGGGTTAATCCTATTAGTCTGTTCTATATAGTGTCCTTTTGAGCTACTTTCTACGGATCGAGTTAATTTCGCAGAGAGGAGAATCGATTGCACTCACTCACACGATTAAGATAATTTTGTTTGGTCGTTTAGGCTGGGTCGTTTCGGGAGGAATGTCCCCTTTCTTACAACATAGCAGTATATCATATCGACCCAAGAGAGGGATGAACCTCTACCCAAGATTTAACGGTCTAGTGTCCTGTATGGGTCAGCTCGGGGTCTTGTTTTCGGGTTTATCCGGCCGAAACCGTAAAGCCTGTACCTATTCCTCCGAAAAAAGGCCTCGAGGTCTTGCTGTTTAAATGCATGACCGGAATCTACATATACCTGCATGTAATATTAGACTACTTGGGAGTTTAAGCAATCAGGGATTCTGTTGTTGCGGTGCCGATATCTTGTGCGCAGGGATTCCAGTGTGCGACTCATGCACGGAAGTGTAAAGACCCAGAAGCCCTCCTACGATCTTCGAGTCCGCAGCACTAGCCGCCATTTGAGGTACAATTCCAAGATGGTTCGGGCTCCAAACCGTATGTCAAGCTAGCCGACCACTCGAATCGGTAGAACGGACCCGAAACCCAGGAACGGCACAACTCCTAGGAAGGCCCGCCGGGTCGAAAATGGGTTCGTACTCAGCCAATGCCCACACTACAAACCGAAAGTTCTACTTATCGAACTTACAGACATCAACAAAAAGTTTCAATCTCGAATCCTTAAGCCCTGACCGCCCCGGACTCCGAAACCCTAAATGAGGCTCATGCTGCCCCTGCCGAGGAAGTATCCGACCGGCCTGGCGAAGCGCTTCATGCACATGTTCAGGAACGTCCGAACGGATGTGCCGCAGGTTCCGATTTCGATGGAAGGGGCTGCTCTTCAGTTGTTCCAGAGGGCTACTTACGAGGATGGTTGTGAAGATGCTTCTCTTCGTGAGGTCGTTGTTTACCTACGAGGCTGTGCTGGGTTGCAAATCCCCAGTGACTGGGTTCCATTGATGCCACAGTGCATCTAGGAGTCTCCGAGAATGAATATGTAATTGGTGTATAGTCTATGCAGATGTACTTCTTCTGCTCATCGTGGTTGCCGTCCACTGAATGTTGTCTGCTTTTGACCACGGTGTAATGCAAAGCTTTGCACACCACAGGCATGAGGGGTCAACCCCAACATATAGAAAACGGTTTGGGATTCTAGGAAGGAGCCTGTATTTTGCTTGTTGCCCAGGAACCTGAACCCTGAACTAAACCCTATATAAACTGAACCAAAACTAAGCCCTAAACCTAACCTAACCTTACCCTTCATAACCCGGCCTATATATATATATATATATATATTATAAACTAAGCCCTAAATCCCTTAAATCCTGAACCCGAAATTCTCGTGTCCGACCATGCCTGTCTGACTGTGTGACTGCACACGCAATTGGATGCCTCCTGAGCTCCGATGAAAAATCCACCAGAATGGCCTCAATCGATTTGGCAGGGTTGCTAGGGTTTGGAGGGGTTAGTGCTCAGGCTGCTTTCATATCAAGCTAATATTTTGGGGATCTATGGGTCCTACATCAAATACCAATTAACGACTACAGGCCCTTGGCTTACTAGCTGAGTTCGGGGACTCTGGTTTCTGGTGCATCGAGCAGAACTGATCCGTGCTCTGAACCCCGTAGTGCACATAAACAAGGCTCCTGGGCTCTCTAGAACAGTACAGGATTCTAGGTGATCGGGCTTGGCAAGGGTGGGGCTCGAGGCCTTTCGGTTCCAGCGCCAGGGCTTCAGGATTTGATGGTTTCACTGTGCCTTTTTTTTGGCTCGGGGACCGGTTGTCTCAAGCTTCAGGTGCTCAGGTTGCTTTTGGAAGCTTCTGTCTCTACTGCTTGATAAGGTTTTCAATAGGTTTGTTATGGTTTTGAGTGGGTTTGGGCTGCTTTTTTCGCTAATTTGCCAATTTTGGACTCCTTGGCACCCGTATTTACCCGTATGGCACCCGTATCTACCCATATATTACCCGATTATACCCATATAGGCACCCGTATTTACTACGTCACGCCTGGAAATCCCGTGCGACCGTTTTTGGGCACCCGTTTTTAAGCGTGCGTAACCCGTAAAAAAGGCGTACGCCCCCCGTAAAAAGGCGTACGCGACGCTAGCCGAAATTAGTTCCTTAGGCTTGGGGTGTGATTTAGGCTCTGAACACTTCTAAACGCATTCCTGACCTGGTTTTTGCTGGTTTATCTCAAAGGAAACCGGGTACATCCTACAGGTGGTGCCCGTTTTGGGAAGCCTCTGCCGAACAGTTGCTGGATACTCTGCTGGGTGTAGACTGTAGAAGCAGGACCGATGGATCAGGCTAAGGCAGTTCAGATCGCAACTGCATTGCTTAGCCGAGCCTGGAGCGGACAATCAATGATTGATGGTGTCTCCAGCATGCTGAGTGTCAAGCAGGAACCTGATAATCTGCCGGATGATCCTGAGGAATTGCAAGAGTACATCAAGGATTGTTGTGGGTTTTGGTAATCCAGCGATGCACAGAATTGGAACGTATGTTCATGTAATGCTGTGCAGTTTGCTCGGGTTGTCTCAGACAGGAGCTGGAGCAGCAGCTGCAGAGACCTACCGGTGCCCTCTCTCCAGGTGACACACTGCCGGCGACGGATGAGGAGCTGGCTTCGGCTGGTAGAGGAAGCCCCACCAATCCATCCTCGACCTCCGTGGCATCCCCATACACTCTGTCAAGCGCCCCTATCGATGCCCCCGAGGTTCCTACCTTGGCATTTCAGTTTTGGGGTTATTAGGCCCGGGCTTGCAGAGGGTGTGCAATCTATGCCTTTCTATCTCTCAGGACACTGACGTGCTGACACATGGCATACATTGTCAGGGTTTGGTTGAACCCTGTGCAGGAATCTGAATATCTTAGGCTATGGCAACGGTTCTCAGTCCACCTCGGCCTGTGCATACCACCCCCAAGAAGGAGATGCCCCGACATGAGATGGTCACCCCCCCGGTCAAGAAGAACTCCTCGCCGCCCTTCCGGCGCATCACTGGCAAGACTGCTTCTTTGATGAAATCTATCGTGCCCTATGTGCATCTTAAGAGGCTAAACCCTAAACCCTTAAACCCTCAACGCCAAACCATAAACCCTTCCTAAGGACGAGCGGGAAAAGTTGATGGCTCTTCTGCAAGCTCAGCAGCAGACAATTGCAGCCCTGCAAGCCGCCTCGAACAATCCTAGCCGATCTTGCCAGCCCAAAGCCCTGGTAAAGCACGAGCCTGCAAGACAGCTCCCACAAGCTTCTGCAGAGCCTCAAGAGCCGGTGTGGGATTGGTTTGCTCATGTAGCCTTATAAAGCCCTGAAGCCGTCCGATCGGGCCCTGACCCCTCAATGTTTGCAATGATAGAACTACGTTTCTGAAGTTATGGAGATCTAGCAGGCTAGGTCATCAATTCACTGTGCAGGCTTGCTGGGTGCATCTTCTGGGGTTTTAGGCTGTAGGATGATGATGAGAGATTACCTTCAGTGCTTCGTTTGATTTAATTTCTGCTAGTCAGAACCCAACCGTAGCACAGCGAGGTTGGGGGCCATCAACATGTACTGATATGCTGTAGAACGAGGGGTCAGAGCTTAGGCTTAAACTAAAGGAGTGCAGTATAAATCAAGATTCTGGGTTAAAGAACACACTTGGGTCTAGCCCCGCAGTCTGTGTGCATGTAGCACGCAGGAGACCGAGGGCGAGGACGAGGACCCCGTGAAGCGTCTGAACCGCATGCGATCGAAAGTCAACCGGCTTTGTGCCCGGACGAAGACCGGGAAGCTGCAAGTTAGTGAAGATGTGCACAATCTTTGGCTTCAAGCTGGGCAGAGCCGGGATCAGTTGGTGCAAATGATGGACCAAGCTGATGGTGTGCGAGAGCCTTGATTTATCATTTTGGCTGCCGATACATCGATCACTAGTTTGTCTTCCTGCACATACACCCGCACACACACACACTGATGCATAAAGTATGCTGTGTTTGCAACCTTAGGACGAGTTCGTCCGGACTGTGGAGATCTACAAAGAAACCCTCAAGTTTCGGAAGACCCAGACCGCCGGAGGGTTCTATAGCGAGACGGATATGCGCAAGCCGGTGTCCGAAGGAGGCCTTGGCTTCTCCGCGAAGCCAAACTACACTGATTAGATTAATGTTGCTTATTCATGTACAGCCATGCAGGGTTGCATGCACCTTTTCGTTTCATCCCGTCTTAGTATGGGTTTGGGGTCAGCGGCAATCTGAGGAAGAAGGCCCAGAAGATCATCGATTGGTGTAATCTTCACCCCGGCCACACGCGGACCCTGGCTAGCAAGTCTGTGCATATACACACATTCCGAGACTGGTATGTCCTGATATGTAGCACACAAGCACATGCAGAGGTGTACGCAGACATGTGCACACACCTGCAACCGCATGTCCAGGAATACAACCATGCAGTGTAATTATACACATGAACAATCGAAGGATACATACCCCGCCCACACAGAAACACCAGGTGACTTATCGTGCCAGACGTAGACCCACATCCATATACGCACACACACACACACACAGAGACACACCAAACAGGGCCGCCCAGAGGGGCACAGACGCACGCACACTGACTGAGATCGAGAGGTATGGTGCATGCTCGCATTATGTGCGCACACAAGCAATCATCGTCCGTATGTGGTTGTACATAAGACTGCCCCTGATGAAAAGCTCAGAACCTATATGTACTCGTGCATATTAACCCCCCACACACACACACCCACACACTCACACAATTGCACTCTCATTTGCAGTCACTCTCACTCTCATTCGCTCTAGCTGTTGTTTTGTTTTTTTCTCTCTCTCTCTCTCTCTCTCTCTCTCTCTCTCTCTCTCTCTCTCTCTCTCTCTCTCTCTCTCTCTCTCTCTCTCTCTCTCTCTCTCTCTCTCTCTCTCTCTCTCTCTCTCCCACCACTCACTCCCTCCCTCCTTCCCGGACTCCTTCTCCTTTTTTGTCTCTCACACTCTCTCTCTCACACACACACACTCTCTCTCTTTCTCTCTCTCCCTCTCCCTGGCTCGCTCCCTTGCTCGCTCACTCACTCACTCTCACTCTCTCTCTCTCTCTCTCCCTCTCTTTCTCTCCTCGCTCTCCTCTGTCTGTCTGGGCAAGAGACCAAAGATTCTGTTAGGGAAGATCGAAGCAGGTTGAGGGAGTGGGCCTTACATAGACAGTGACATATCGCTTAGCTCAATACGCAAGTAAAGCTTTACATCATTGAAGCTCAAGACGACGGAGGCAGGAATAGAAGGATTGCTTTGGAGATGGGAAGAGATAGGAAGTCATGTGCACGGTACGTATACAGGTATGTAGAATGCACGAATAAGCTTACTTAAGAAATATTCTTGCGATATCAGAGGCAACACCATCGAGCTTGCTTTATTTGGTTTTCGATCAAGGAAGAACAAGTATGACGAAGATGAGATCGAGTACTGGGTCGATCATCGGACCAGTGGTGTCATGGGAGTAGAGGAGAAGGAGGGCCTGAAGGACTCAACCACCGGAACAGGTGGCACCCGCGAGTTCGAGAACTTTAAATCTTCAGGCTTGAATGAGGGCTGGGACCATCGCCAAGCAGGAAACTGTGTCGTGGAAACGGGACGAGACAAGGTGCCTAAGCTCCAACTCTCAAAAAGACCCAGGTGCATAGCTGGACATGCTGTGCAAGGTACTTGATACGATCCAAAGGCACATGCAAGAGTCCGTGGCGAGTCGTGACAAGCTCCAGAAGTTCATGGAGAAGCTGGACACGACCGACGTAACGGTCAAGGCGTAAGGGCCCCTACTTCTATACAATAGCCACAATAGCTTGGATGTTCTTGTGCAGTGCATGAAACACCCGGGCACAGATTAAGATGTTGAGCTCTACCGTGACGTCAGTATGTAAAACTCATGGTATTGAACCAAGGGAGATGGTGAAGATGAACGAAGTGGTGGTTCAGCTGGGTGCTCTTTATGACGAGCTCGCCAAGCTCGAAGCCGATGCGAAGATCAAACCCTTCACTGCCGAGCGACTCGACATATACGTACTGGCTGAAGAATGTAAAGACCCCAAAGGCGATAGTGCAAACCCTTAAACTTTGATTGAGTCTACCCGAAGTTGCTGGGGCCCAAGCATAGATAAGCACCAATCCGCCCAGGCAGCAGCGCAGCCTCGACGACAAGCGCGAGCAAGTCAAGCGCCAGATGCTCGATTTCATTGATCCAAACCACGTACTGCGACCCTAAACCTTATGATCCCTAAGCCCGACTGCTCAGTACCCAAAAACAAACCGGAACCGCTGTATCTCAGGATGACAATGGCGACATCTATGGAAGTGAAGAACAAGCCGCTCGGACTGATGATCCAATATTCAATACTACTGCTATTCACAGCACATCCTACAACACCCCCTCGAGGAAGCTCAAGAAGAAACCGGTGGTGAAACGACCGGCTGTGGCGCCTGCTGAGTCGAAGGAGAATGCCAGCCCCAACAAAGGTCCTAAGAAGAAGAGGAAGAATGGTGCCAAGAAGTAGAGGAGTTGTACTGTAGGATCCGATGCTCGGGTTTATCTATAGTTTGGTCCTGCCTGCGAGGGTTCCTTACTGGTTCTAAACCAAGGTTATCACACTACAAACCGCCCCCTTAAACCCTAAACCTTAACCCCTAAACCCCTACACATGTATAATGTATGTGGTCCCTTACGACTCCAAATAGTACCCTAAGCCTGGGCCTCCAAGCCTCAAAAACTCGATGGAACCGTTCTGTTTGGCAACCCCCGCTGGACCGGCCAAGTGTCAAGTGTGCTGCATTGAATGCAAGTACAAAGCTGTGGCAATCGCCACGGTGCTGCACTTCAGGATCTGTTGGTGAGTTGTAAGTGCACTGCTGGCGACAAGTTGGTGTTCTTGTTGGGACTGATAAAGAAGCTAGAACTAAATGCTTAAGCAATTGTATTCGGTTCCTAGTTTACATATTGCATAACCACTTCTACCCCAGATGGTTTGATGTTCGGTACCTGATATGAAGCGGTATCGCACCAGCTCTGCACTGAGATCACTGCTCCCAACCGAAGCTTGCTCAGGACTCGGGAAACGGTCCAATCGAAAAAGTCGCGGCAGTTGGGGATCCTTGTGGAATTCCGGAGTCGAGGGCTTCGTGTAGCCATCACGAAAGAACAAGAAAGCTAGAATGTCCCACATTTACGAACCAATCGTTGTTTACAAATTTGCTACAAGCCATAGTCTGGATCAAATAACAGAGGCGGAGTCTCAATGCAAGCAGTACTATCCGAAGGAACCCACCCAAATCAGAAACCAGAGAACCCCGAACGAAAACATTGAGCAAAATGCCAGGTCCACCAATCACTGAAGCTGTGTCCGCTCGGGCCAAGACGCTGGCCAAAGCGCTCGGCACTGGGGTCAGGGCCTCAATTGGAGTGGTGTTTGAAGCTCGCCATTCATCGTGCACTCAAACGTCTTCGGTGTGTTTCGGCATGATCATCTTTGCGCACTGTGCCGGCTTTCTTACCGCAAGGTTACGGTTCACTGTTGCACAAAAAACGATGTGCAAATGCCTCAATCTCTGATGGACCCAATCCTATATTCATGTCATATTCCCCAGATAGAATAGGATGCGATACCCGTCCTTATGTACGCTACCAATCGTAACCAACCTCAGCACAATCAGTTGCTTTCAACCCGAACGCATACTCCTAGACCCTGTGGTTTGCTATTTAGCACAGACGCCTCATGCCACGCAAGCGAGCCATCGACTGTATTTTCCCGTGGGGCTCCGACACAGAAAGTGATGCCGATGCTCCACCGCCGCCGAAACCTCTGGCTAGGGCTGGATGTCGTAAGGTTGCAAGGCATACCAAGGAAACTTCGGCTTTGTCTGGTATCTCCTATGACTTGATCTTTGCAGGGCCACAACAAGCTGGCAAGGTTCTGGCTCACTGTCAGGCATGTATCCGGGCACTACAAGCCAAGACTGGAGGGGAGAGTTTGTCCATCTACAAAATTGGCATCACTCACGACTGCGAGTCACGGTTTGAGCTGTACCAGTCGAATGGGTTTTCCGCGATGATGGTTATGTGCTCATCTAACGAGTTGGGCTTCATCGAAATGTTGGAAGCTGCTCTGATTTCCCATCACAAAGAGCGGCTGCAATGTCGCAATGTCTTGCCGGGTGGAGAAGGGATGAGGGATAAATGTTTGAATGCCAAATTCGAAGCTCCTTACTACTGCTACTGTGTAGCTGCAAGGGCAGACTTACCTAAATGGGTCCGAAGTTAAGGGTGTACGATGTTTCAAACCTAGAAGTCTTAATAGGTGTGTGATCTATAGAACTGATCCATTACTCTAGCAGTCAAGGACCCGTGGGGCAGTCTGCTGATGAACACATGTTCTTTTCAGTGATCGAGGCCTTTGCCAATTCAGGATCCCATGCAATACTAAATTCAAATTGAAGCGCTGAGCCTATCCGCGATCGGGAAAAGGGACTTCTCTCGAGTGAAGACGTCACAGACTGAAGAACACATGGAAATGCTGATTTGTTCTGCATTTCGGAAACCCTAAACCAAAGCCGAATTCTAAACCCTACACCCCGAAACCCAAAACCCTAAGGCCCTAAGTTTTCTGCTCGCCGAGGCCTCGGCCAAACACGTGGGCACCATCGCGAAGGCCTTTGTGGATGATGATCGGGCTTGCTTTGCACTGAAGGATATGGCGAGGGCTCCTGGTAAAAATGCTGCAAGATGTTTTGAGACGGTATTGAGGAAATGGGACCTCACTCTGGATGTGCCAATAACATATCTGGATTTGTCTTCAGACTGCCGAGTGCCGTCTTTGATGCCTTCAGACTACATTGCTAAGTTACTTGAGAAAGGCTTCTTGCACAAACTTTTGGGTGGCTCAGTCCAAAGTTGCAACCGGGGCCTGCATCAAGCAAGCTTTGGGATGTAATTATGATGTCTAGTATATGCAAACCCGAAACCCGTGGTCGATTCCCAACTTCTTATCATAACTCTTTTAATGCTCCTGGAGAAACCTTAATCAATCCTGAAGAACCCTTAAGTCCAAGCCTGCATCTACCTAAACCAAATATCGAGGTGTTCCTAGGAACTACAACAAATCCCAGGCTCCTCACGACTTCGAGATTTCTGCAACAATTACAAGTACGAGGCGCCAACTCATGAAGTTTTTCAGCACGACTTCGTGGATTTTGGAAACTTAGTCCCTCTCTATATCCATGGAGACGGTGGGAGAACATATCGGCGAGATGAACTGATGGTAGTCGCTTTCCAGCCCATTTTGGGCCTAGGCACCCGCTTATCCCATCCGTCGAAGCTGAGGACTTCCAAACCTGGAGTAAACCTTCAGGGGCACTCGTTTACGACTTTACGACGAGGTTCTTGAATGGGGTACTGCCGAAAAGTATTTTGCAGATTTAATGCAGCCCGGCCGGTGCCCGCGGAACTAAGATCCAAGTTAAATTTTAAGTTTTTAACGCAAATTTTAATGCAACCCGGCCGGTGCCCGCGGAACTAAGATCCAAGATTCAAGACTCCTGGGCATCTTGGTTCTTGGTTCCACGGGCCTGGCTGCATTAAAACTTAATTTTTTTATGCAGATTTTAATGCAGCCCGGCCGGTGCCCGCGGAACCAAGATCCAAGATTCAAGACTCCTGGGCATCTTGGTTCTTGGTTCCAGTGGCCGGGCTGCATTAAATTTTAATTTTTTAATGCTGGTTTCAATGCAGCCGGGCCTCTGGTATAGTCATGTTCGTATACACTAATCTTCGTATACCCAGGTCCATGTTGCACGTGTGTGTGTGGGCGTCTGTGTGCGTAGGTGATGGGGTATGGCATCCTGTGTGTAGCACGACGGGTTTGGAGGTAGGTCCTGGGGGGCATATATATATATATATATATATATATGTATATGTACGTACGTACATATATATATATATACATATATACATATACATATATACATATATACATATATACATATATACATATATACATATATACATATATACATATATACATATATACATATATACATATATACATATATACATATATACATATATACACATATACACATATACATATATGTACGTAGGACCTTTAGGGTCTATTTGGCGCGGGCCTCTGCTCTGTGTATCAATTAAATCCCGGGCCCCAGCCCCAGCCCCGGCCCACCCCAACCCAGCACGAAATAAATTTTTTAAATTCCTTAAATTCTTTAAAAATTAAATCGGCCGGAATTAAATTTTAAAGAATTTAAAAAATTTAAAAACGAAAAATTCTTTAAAAATTAAATCGGCCGGAATTAAATTTTAAAGAATTTAAAAAAATTTAAAAACGAAAAGTTCTTTAAAAATTAAATCGGCCGGAATTAAATTTTAAAGAATTTAAAAAATTTAAAAAAGAAAAATTCTTTAAATTCTTTAAAAATTAAATCGGCCGGAATTAAATCTTAAAGAATTTAAAGAATTTAGAGAATTAAAAAAATTTAAATCCCGGGTCCCAGCCCCAGCCCCGGCCCACCCCAACCCAGCACGAAATAATTTTTTTAAATTCCTTAAATTCTTTAAAAATTAAATCGGCCGGAATTAAATTTTAAAGAATTTAAAAAATTTAAAAAAGAAAAATTCTTTAAATTCTTTAAAAATTAAATCGGCCGGAATTAAATTTTAAAGAATTTAAAGAATTTAAAGAAGTTAAAAAATTTAAATCCCGGGCCCCAGCGCCAGCCCCGGCCCACCCCAACCCAGCACGAAATAAATTTTTTAAATTCCTTAAATTCTTGAAAAATTAAATCGGCCGGAATTAAATTTTAAAGAATTTAAAAAATTTAAAAACGAAAAATTCTTTAAAAATTAAATCGGCCGGAATTAAATTTTAAAGAATTTGAATTTAAAGAATTTAAAAAATTTAAATCCCGGGTCCCAGCCCCAGCCCCGGCCCACCCCAACCCAGCACGAAATAATTTTTTTAAATTCCTTAAATTCTTTAAAAATTAAATCGGCCGGAATTAAATTTTAAAGAATTTAAAAAATTTAAAAAAGAAAAATTCTTTAAATT